TCACATACTATTTCATTGTTTGTGCGTGTACAATATTTCTGGACACGGGGTGTGCGATAGACTTACCTCCACGTGGTGCACCCTGGGCAACGTATACTCATACGCAAAAAAGTCTATTAATTGGCAGTTTACTTCTGTCTTCAAACTACCATCACCCCACTGTATGTCATAGTACACAGCTTCCACAGAACTCATCTCACCTTTTCTCTGCCTTTGTGTCTGTCTGTCTCCTCTATATCTTTGAATCTCTCTTCTGTTCCCCCTCCCGAATTGTTCTCACTTTGATTTTCCTCCCTCTGCGAAGCCCAAGGTCAGCTAAATGGCTAACGATAAATATTCAAAACGCCTGCCATTTAAAATAATAATATTTCTGGACACCAATGTTTGAACTTAATGACTTTAATGCAGATCTCACTCTCTTGCCTAATTCTCACTGCTATCTATTTGAATAAATGCGTGTGTGTCAGAATAAAAGCGGTTAGAATATGGTTTGGAAGATGTGGTTATATCTCTCATCTTAATCAAGTCGTTTTATTTATGTAAGTGAGTTATTCGAATAAAAATTATGACTGGGAGCTAAAACTGCATGCTTAATAGAATAAAATTAAAATAAAACAAGTTAAAATTGTTTTTTAACTGAGCTTTCATTTTATATAAATCTTTCAAAAAGCGTTTTTGTTTTATATCGATGTACTTATCTATCTTTTCCATAATCTCTTTATTCAGATGACATTATCGACATAACCAGCTTAAAGGCCAAATTTTGAAGGAATTTTTTCAAAATTTTTGGGTTGTTGTATCATCAAAATAAGTAAATTTACCTTCTTTGAAATCCTAAAACTGGTTAGACGGGAATGCGTATTATAAATAAAGATAAAGATTTGATATTAGCATCAAGTAAACAAACGCATTATTTTAAAAAGGCGTTATACGTAAAATTACATTGGTTGCATTTAAAATAAGTACTAAACCAAACAAAATGAAAACTTTAACTTATGACTAAAAGTTTCGAATTTTCTGTTATAATTTTAATTCTATGATGAAATTTGTAATTCAATGTTGAATGGTTTAAAAGTACTTCCGTTCATCAAGCGCTCTCATTTCAATGGAGATCAAGCAGGTAAATCTCACAAACTTGCCAATATAAGAAAAATAAAGAAATAATACATTAAAATTGTCATGCGTTTTATTATTAATGCATCATCTTATTACTAGTTAGGATGAAATTACTTTATTTATTTTTTTGTGGCATTCAATTTAGAGTTAGTAAATGATAAAAGCTTCAACTGCTAGCTCTAGGAACTATTTAATAAGCTAAACTTCTGCTAGTTGGAGATGAAATTTTAAAGGCATATTAAATTTGTAGTTGAAAAAGTTTCTTTACACAGTGTGTGAAATTAATGCTTAGATTATTTTTTTAATCTAAAAATAATAGCCAAATTCAAACCATAATTATTTGAAAGCATTTCATATAAATTGTTTCGTTATACTTGCTGCATGGATGGAATTATTTTGTTTTGATTTATGACGTGTTCATGGTAACCAAAGTGGAATTTAATTTATATGGGGATAAGAAAATCATGATAAGCAAAATAGGAGATTTACTATTATATTTCAAAATTTGCTCCGAAAAGAAAAGGAAGAAATTAATCAAGTTGCAGAAAATATAATTGGTAAAGATGTGAAATTCATGCACTTTGAAACAAATAATTTAGCCCCGAAGAAAGTTGTAAGCTCTCTTATGCAGACTTCTGGCTGAAATATACAAATAAAATTATTAATATTTTTGCTTAATTCCGTATTAAAATTAGTTCGTACTTACAGAATGCAATATCTTTCTTAATTGCCTAGATCAAATTAAAAAAAAACATTTTTCATAAATTTCATGCGAATACACATAAGAAAAATAATATGCATTTGCAATAAAACAACCAGGTAAATAAGTCTTGTCATATCCCGAAATAATTTGCTTTGATCAGGACTAAGTGTTGACATGGCTTCCACAATATCCATTGCGAATTCCTCATTTTCTGTTGCCTGTGGTTCGACAACATTCCAGTTAGTTTCAACAGCTCGAGATTGGACGCACGCCACTCCGAAATAAGTCAAAGCGAAAAGAAGATTAAATAATTTGAAGTAAGAAGGAAGCCTCATCGTTTTCTAAAAGAAATACTATATCAAGCTCTACGATATAAAACATATTGATAACATTATAAAAATTGCAAAAAGCACTAGTTAAATGAATTTAATCAAAGTTCGATAAATTAAGCAAATATTACGCATTTATGATATTGTTTTTAATATTATTTTTATTCAGTTTAGGTAGGCATAATTTCTTTATTATTTATTAATCACTAATGACTTAGAGTTTTCCATTTTCATTTAAAAGAACTCTAAAGAATAATGTAAAATACTAATAATATGTTTTCATCAGAAATATATAAATGTTAATCAAAAAATCTAAAAGGAAATTAATTATGACAATATTCAAGATATTTTTAATGTCCACATCAAAAATATATTTATCAATATGCATCTCTTGAAAGTACTTATACCATTGATAATAAATAGATATAGGTATATATGCGTATATGTACGAGAATACGTATGTATATATATGTATATATATATCTTAAGTTTGGCCAATGGGACAATAAAACATTCATTGGTTGTCGCTATTTATTACTATTGGCTGAAACTGCTTAAGTGGATTCGATATTGGAGACGTGGATATGAGATGGTTTGAATATACTTTGAAGCAATGTTACTAGGTATATTTTGTTTCATAGACCCATTTTAATAGTAATTAAAGAGTGGAATGAAAATTAGTATATTGGTAACAATTTCATGTAAATTAATATATCAGCAATTTACTTCTTTGTTCTAGAAGAAAGAATTCACAAATTAATTTATAATACTACAAATCGAAAATACATATTTGATGATTTTACTGAGAAAGAGACTACCAAAGACCCTATTTAAAAAAGTAATAGGACAGGAGATTCGAATTTTTGTTCGTTCATCCCTCCAAAGTTGAATTAACTTTTTTATATTTTAGGCATTTGCGTAAAGTAAGCTTTTACCATTGATATACAATTGCGAAGTTCCTTACCTATTTCTCAAAGACGTTAAGGTTCCCACTTCCAGCTGAGTTCAGTGTTTGAAGTTAAATAGTTAAAAAACTTATTATTAACTTATTTCAAATTGACATTTTTAATTTAAAAGAAGATGGTAATATTATTTGATCACTGCCTAGAGCATTTGCAATTAATGATCAATCTCGAAAATAGCCAAACTGAATAACTTTACTTTTTTACATGCAGCGTTCCTTGGACTAAAGTGGATACGACTTAATAGTATATTTTCTTGATGGCGTTCAAAAGCTGAGATGAGTTCTTAAAATTTTTCCTTAAATTGGAGTTTCTAAATTGATCAAATGAAGTTCGCAGCTATTTTCACTTTAATCTATTTGTGCAGTAAATTTCTAAAATTCGTGCCTTACTTAAATTGTTTAGTACTGTCTCATACAATACTACTGGTTAGACTTATGTCGTCTATGAAACATCTATCCCTGTATAATCTAAACCGTAATGTTCATGTTCAGCTAATGGTATATCCATACGATGATAGGCAGCTTTAAAGTAATCATATGTTGTCACCTGTAATTTGAAAGGAATATTCGCATAAAACATTTATATATTATATCTTGAGGGGTGTGCGATAGACTTACCCCTCGTGGTGCACCCTGGGCAACGTATACTCATACGGCNGCCGTATGAGTATACGTTGCCCAGGGTGCACCACGTGGAGGTAAGTCTATCGCACACCCCTTGCTTGATTGTATAAAAGGTGGCTAACTTATGTTTATAAATTTATGAGACACCAGTGAATGTATGTAGGAAGTGTGTGAAATACACATTTATCTTGTGGGATAACGCAAATTCGTTAATAAGAGTATTTATTAACTGCTCACTATGCAGTTGATTTTTGATCGCATTAGTTCCTTTTCATCACGCTAAGCTTCGACTTTGTTTTATTAAAAAAAATTAACAATAAGTTCAGGAGAAGAAGTTCTATTCTGTTTAGTATATTTCCAATTATTATCACCAATTGTGCTTAACTGCCCATCGATAAGCGAGGCGCTTGCGTTTGTCGGCAACTTTTGTGTCCTAAGTTAGCTGACCTTTTATGCTGGGGTGTTTTCTCCATTGTCACTGCCGACTTGATTTGAGTCGGGGATTTCACCCGGAGTGGGTTATAAGACTATCTCTGTGTTTTCCATTTTTCTTATTCGTAACCTTGAAATCCTGTTATTGTTTTTATATCCTAGCTAAAAAAGCCTTAATGACGTAAATGCTTCATAGCCTCCAGGTGCTGTGATCGTTGGGGTATTAAATAAATCTCAAAAGTATTTCTGTGAAAGTTTTGGTAATTCCGATTTCCTATTAATAACTGGGAGATCAGTTAAATTTGATATTGGGATATCATTTTCTGTTATTTAGGCTTGCAAAAATATCTTTTTGTCTCATTAATTCATGTGTCTTTATGTAAGCAATCCATAAATACTAACGCATTGTCCATCATATTCATGAAAACTATTCAAATTTTTATCATTTCAGGCTTTATTTAATGATCTTTGAACATCCTGTTATAGTTATATTTTTTGTTTGCGTATTTACTTTTATAAATCATTTTTAGCGGTGACTTGCGGTTACCTCAAACCCTCACCGTTCTACATGTAGAACAGGAGGTCATTGGGGATAACACACCTGCCATTGAGAGTGTTCTCCAAGCTGACACTAAACGTGCCAGCCTTTTGGCCGAGTTGGAAAAGTTGAAAAGAAGCAATGGTGCTGACAGTGATGCCACTTCTCTCCGTTTGGCAGAAGTCTTCGACCAATTGGTCTCCATTGATGCCGATAGCGCTCCTGCAAGAGCTGCTGCAATTCTTCATGGTCTTGGCTTTGAATCCGACAAACAGGTAGGTCGCCAATCTGTCTCTACTTTATCTCTTTTAGTATGTATTAAGTAATGTGAATGTAGCTAAGTAGTTTACATGTGATTAAAATATAGATATAGTTTGTTTGTTCATTGTGTAAGAAAAAGATTCATTTTTCGATTACTATTACTCTTGACAAATTTCAGTTACATGATGGCATTTGATCCATCGAATTACACTTATAGATCAATTAAATGTAGATTTCGTTAAAATGTGGTGTATTATAGTAACAAGGTCAAGTCTTACTTATTTGAGTTCTGGAGACTTTATCTTTTTTCTAAAAAGTTGTAATTCACTTTATAATGTTTAAGGCTCCATTTCCATGAAGTGTGACTGAATCTTTGTCCACGGTAATCAGATCTTGCTGACCAGTGGATTTAATTGAACCGTTGGCATTGTCACTCTCGAATGCAGCCCTGGATGAATAGGTGAGACGAGCAAGGGCGTTTTAAGCAGCAGTAAATCTCTAAACGTGACAAGTAGAAAAGTAGAATAAAATTTGTTGGTTTTGCACGATGGTCCACTTCTACAGCTGTCTGAGCTGGCTGGTTAATGTACTTGGTCTGTCCAAGAAAAAAGAAACTCGAGTAACTGCTTTATATGTTTATTAATTATTTTGCATATTTTCGAAAGTGCAATAAAATTGTGGGTCGTTGTAATACATAAAGTGGAAGGGCCTTGTATATTTGTATATTATTGATTTCGGGGGGTTGTGGGTATTTTGAACCATAATAAGTGTAGATTAACGTGGGAAGTCGGTGTATTTACCCGCATCGGCATATGCAGGGTAGTTCTAGTGTTCTCTACCTAATTTGATGATAGGAAACATTTGTTGTTCTTTTCATCTTCCAATACCTATTTAATCGTTCTTGAGGAAAAGTAATGATTAGTTATGTAATTTCCATTCTATCCTCTTGCTCACATCTGGCAGTCTTGATAGGTTTGAGGACAGGCGAGTTTGGCAAGCAGGCTTATTAATGGAAGTCCTTAAGGATCGGTGAGGTGCTTTTTAGGTGCTGAAAATTGTGGCTATGAAATAAATGAAGAATTGATCGAGTCTCAGTGGAAAATTATGCTTTATCATAAACAGATGGATATAGTCTTACTTAAGACTCAAATTTGTTCTTCATCCTAAAAACAGGTCGCTACTGGGTTGCACTTCAAGAGAAATAAATCTAATGTCACTAAATTAATCCATGTTATAGTTGAGGGGGGTATTTATCTTGGGCACCTTATTGGACATCTCACCTCAATCATAGTCAATTATTGTTTATAACTACTGATTAGCCTCTTTAAGTCGTTTATTCAAATATAGGATTAACAGATGGGGATAACGTAGTCATCGTTCAAGTTACTCGTTGATTATTCGTGTTTCTTCCTATTTTCCAGACCAAACCAACTAAGGAGTTTTCTGGTGGTTGGAGAATGCGCTTGGCTCTGGCTCGAGCTCTATTCGCAAAACCTGATTTGCTTCTTCTCGATGAACCTACTAACATGTTGGATATCCGAGCCATCATTTGGTTGGAGAGCTACATTCAGGCACGCTTAGTTTTTTTCACACTCGCATATTTCACATTCTTGCTTGAAACACATTTTCCGTCATCTCTTTTAGACCTGGAGTGGAATAATGATTGTTGTCTCTCACGACCAAGCCTTTCTGAATTCTGTAGCTACTGATATCATTCATCTGACGTCTCAGCGGCTGGATGCTTACAAAGGAGATTATGACGACTTTCTCAAAGCCAGAGATGAGCGTCTTCTGAATGAGGAGAGAGAGTATAATGCTCAGATGGCCGAACGGGCTCATATTCAGGTTAGTTTGAAGTCAATTACTGTCTTAGCTGTGAGCTGCCTGAAGAACAGAAGTCGAACGATGATCTATGCATATATTACTAGTATAATGAAAATAAGTGGATTTGAAGGAACTGTTCACTTGTGACATAGATTTCCGCGTCCACATCTGAAAATCGATGCTCAGGTTTAAACAGATGGAGACGTGTTCGGTTCATTGTTTTATTCTACATTTTTTGCATGTGGTCATACTAAGCTCGATAATTTGGCACATTTGATGGAAACTTAGGTCCTTAGAAAATTGTATCTCCCCCCCCCCTCCTCCTCCTCATTTAACAATCACTAATATTGATGAATCTTAACACCATTTAGGTATATATACATTATAGGAAGAGTAAGGTCGAAGATTTCTTTCGAGCTTAAGTTTTCTTTGTCCTTAAAGTCATTGAATCTTAATTGGAGATTGGCTCAAGTTTCCTCAGACACTCAATCAAATGAGACATTACTCTGTTAATTTGACCATGCTTTATGTTTTCTTTTCAGAAATTTATCGATACTTTCCGAGCTAACGCAAGCAGAGCCTCGTTAGTACAGAGCCGAATTAAAATGCTGGAGCGTATGCCAAAGCTTACACCTCCTGAAAAGCCTGTCAAGGTGGCTTTCAAGTTACCTGATTGTGAAGAGCTCACTCACCAACCTCTCGTCCAACTTGATGAAGTCAGTTTCCGTTACAATCCTGATACTCCATTGCTTGAAGATATCGATCTAAGCGTTGTTTACAACTCTCGGATCTGTATTGTAAGTCGCCCTGAATAAACCTAAATAAAATTGTTTCATAAGATAATTGTTTCACGCTTTCTTTAGGTTGGTGAAAACGGTGCTGGTAAGAGTACACTTCTTCGCTTACTTTTGGGTGAACTGACTCCAACAAAAGGTCTTCGCCATGCTCACAGACAACTTCGCATGGCCTACTTCTCACAGCACCACGTTGATCAACTCGACCTTAATGTTTCCAGTCTCGAATTCTTAATGAAGAAGTTCCCCAATGAAACTGAACAGCGCTATCGTAGCCAGCTTGCCAGTTTCGAAATTGGAGCTTTGTTAGCTCAACAACCAATCGGAAGTCTTTCTGGAGGTCAGAAGTCTCGAGTCGCCTTTGCTGCTCTCAGCATGTCTAAGTAAATAAATGACGTTAATATTCCTCTTAGCCTGGAATATTTAAGTTTACTTACTTTTTATATTTTAGACCCAATCTCCTGGTGCTTGACGAACCTACTAACCACTTGGATATTGAGACAATCATAGCCCTGGGAGACTCACTGAAATCCTTCAAAGGAGGAGTAGTACTTGTCTCTCACGATGAGCGTTTGATTTCCTCGGTATGCACAGAGTGCTGGGTGTGTACTCGCTATAAAAATGACGACAAGAACGTAGTTTCTCCTGTTGGTACGAGAGCCAGCCGTGTGTTTATACTTCCGGGTGGATTGGATGAGTACAAGAAGGCTGTGAAGAGTCAATTCGATGATGATGTCAAAACTGGATGAAGATGATAAATATTTGCTTTGCTAAAATTAGTGTCTCTTCTTATGTCCATGAAATGGGTACTTTAATTGAATACTAACGAATGGTTGATCATCTAGTCTTTCTTTTTTGTGATGATGTTATTTGTTAATAATCATCACTGGGGCATTCGTTACAAACCTCTACAATGATGGTGGTTGGTATCAGATTCTAATAGTAATGGTAGAGGCATACACTAACTAAACAATAAGTAACCTTGAGATATTGGCATTTGCACGTGATTTGTGATCCGATTACGCCTCTTGGTGTAAGCAGTAATAAGCCAGCACTTAACTTACACAGTGCTTAGTCATTAAATACAATGTTCCCACCTCTGCCAGTGCTATGACATTGACTGCTGATTGATCGAGAGGTCCTAACGATTACGACCACAACGCTCCCTACTGCGGTCTGGAGGACTAACGTGCTTTCCAGAATAATAATGAGGGCATGAGACTTCCTGGTTCAGCCAAGACAGTGCTGTACAATCCATTAGCCCCAAATATTCCTTAATTTATATTCTAGAAATCCGGAGTGTGCGATAGACTTACCTCCAAGTGGTGCATCCGTCGCAACGTATACTCATACGGAAATAGGTCTATTAACTGGCCGTTGACTTCTGACTTCAAAATACCATCACCCCACTGTATGTCATATTCGACTACTTCCACAGTATTCACCTCAACTTTTTCCTACCTTTGTGTCTGTCTCATTTACATCTTTGAAACACTCTTCCCCCCCCCCTCTCGACTTTTTCACNCTTTTTTACATGCAGCGTTCCTTGGACTAAAGTGGATACGACTTAATAGTATATTTTCTTGATGGCGTTCAAAAGCTGAGATGAGTTCTTAAAATTTTTCCTTAAATTGGAGTTTCTAAATTGATCAAATGAAGTTCGCAGCTATTTTCACTTTAATCTATTTGTGCAGTAAATTTCTAAAATTCGTGCCTTACTTAAATTGTTTAGTACTGTCTCATACAATACTACTGGTTAGACTTATGTCGTCTATGAAACATCTATCCCTGTATAATCTAAACCGTAATGTTCATGTTCAGCTAATGGTATATCCATACGATGATAGGCAGCTTTAAAGTAATCATATGTTGTCACCTGTAATTTGAAAGGAATATTCGCATAAAACATTTATATATTATATCTTGAGGGGTGTGCGATAGACTTACCCCTCGTGGTGCACCCTGGGCAACGTATACTCATACGGCGAAAAAGTCTATTAACTGGCAGTTGACTTCTCACTTCAAACTACCAACACCCCACTCTATATCATATTCGACCCCTTTCACAGTATTCATTTTACCTTTTTCTCACCTTTGTGCCTGTCTCTTTAACATCTTTGAAGAACTCTTCTGTTCCCTCCCCCCCATCTCGACTTTTGCACTTTGATGTTCCTCCTCCTCTCTGTAAAGCCCAAAGTCAACTAAAGGGCTAATGATAACTATCAAAACGCCTGCCATTTGATATAAATAAATAAATATTATATCTTGATGTCCACTAAAACCAATCCCGCAACAATGACTTTTATTTATACTGATTAAGTAGTCAGTAGTTCAAAAAAGAGTGGGTAAGAACTGAATCAGTGCTGTTACCTCTGCTATCTTTTTAGAAGGTGACATGGCAGCAAGAAGATCATGTCTTACTTAACCACGACGCTCTGATAATATAGCGTTGCTAGCTTTCAATAATAAAACAGCAAAAGCTCATTAATTCCCCATTTGTTAAAAAATTGCCATGAAAAAGAAGGCAGGAATATATAAATTATCTGAAGTTCGGTTTCCATTAATATTTATTTGGGGGGTTATATCAAGACATATCTTTATTTTATTATAAATAGATTATCATACAATAAATTGAAAGGGGTTGGAATACTGAAGGTAGAGCATCGAAAAGTTCGGCACCACTTTGATTTCTGTTCCATGTTATACCCTATTTATGCCTTGCATAATATCTAGAAATGTATGTTCTAATACTATAAGGCATGAAATTCTGGATTTGTTTCTCTATTTTTGAATGAATTATTAATGATAATACTCAGAGCTCTCTCGCTCAGCGGTTTGTCAGTTCAGATCATTGGTCGTCCCTTTAAGATGAATTTTCCCAAAATGAACAGGCAAAACGATAAGATCTTATACGATTAAACATAGCAAAGTTTATACTATTTGAAATTTACAAGATTATATTCTGATTCAGGATAAAAACTGAATAGATGATCAATAAAATATTTCCTAAGGTATTCGATGAATCTTGATTTCGTTAAAATTAAATTTAATATGGGTTGAAATTGCTTGATGTATAAAGGTTTATAGCTTAACATAGCCGATATTGTGTACGACATCGAGCTCTCAAAATCGGCACTGTAGAAGTAGTTACATTATTATTTATAGGAATTAGAAAGGATATAATTAGTACTGCGAATAAACCCTAATCCTATTAAAATCGCAATTTGAATTTTTTAAAGAATTAATTTTAATATTAAGGATTTATATTAACCTTGAATGAAATAGAAATCTTTCTAGACCTGTTTTACTCCAACGGTACGTGAGTTGATCTCACGATAATTGCTTAAACGTTGAATACTAATTTCCTTCTTATTAGAACATAGCCCATGATTAGAGTTTAAAATCCTTTTCGTAAATGTAAAACTAAAATAACCTCTCTCATTCTACTGATGGTTCTATTGAAATATAAGTAGCAAAAAGTTGATTCAGTTAGAATCTCCTAATTTTGCTATTTTAATTACATTTTTTACGAAAAGACTAAACAGCGTATTTTTTCAGGAATCTCTCAGTCAAAAAATTTCACAATTGGTCAAAAACATTTACTTTCAATACATCAAATATTATTATTTTATGATAAATTACATGGTTTTGTTACTTGTTTCGTTGCAGAAAAGAAGACATTCTTTAGATGAAACTTGTTTCCAGAAAATTTTAAATTCCAGTGTTTATAATAGAATACGATTAAAATAAAAAATTCTTCAAATAACGATCTCCTCAAACGAAAACGTCAAGCAAAATGTAGTCTACATCTCCCTATTATAAGCACTAGCAAAATCAAAAGTAAAATGATCTAAATAAGTTAAATTTACTGATCACTGATTTGATGAGAAAAACACTTATGAAAAACGATGAATGCAAATTTTCTGAAAATATATTGAACCTTAAATAAATACTTCGAATTACTTTTAATTAACCCACCGAATATTGTAAATGTGTAAAAATCGCTCTAACTTTTATTCAATAAAATTAATTGCTAAATACGTCTCCTCTCTATTCAGAAAGGTAATTAGAAGATTATGGCATTTGAAAAATCAAGTGCCACAAATGTGATTAATAACTTCCAAAAAGGCACAAATGGCCACGACTTTAAAGTACAGTCGATGTTTCATTAGTCAAAATTGCCAAATATAAAAGGACTTCAAATATATTTGACCCTTTGTGGATGAACTCATTAATAGAATATAGATCTCAAAATCTCAACAATAGAAACAATATGAAAAAAATAAACTGAGCAAAAAAATGAGGAGATTTGTGATTAGTGGCGTAATGAATTTAATAATGGGAAGTAAACGTTCTGGATATGGGATAATTTCCGGTTTCATGGATTCATTTTAGTTCTGCATTTTATCTCCCGCTCCATTAAAATTATTTCTCATATTTTCTACTCATATTATATTCCGCCTAAAAATCATTTGCTTGCAACTTTTTCAATACAAACGTTTTCATCCATTTTTAATGTAGAAATCGTTTTTTTTTCATAATAAAAATAGTTGCTCATGAACGTTTTATGGTACTATGTTAATTAATAGTATAATATTTTTTGTTAAATAAATGAAATAACATGCAATTTGAAAGTAATTCTATTTAATTGACCAAATAAATTTTGCATTCATTTAGATGGTCAAAATATCGGATTTAATAATATTCCAAATTTGAAATTTCATGATTACTTATTTGCTATTCAGTAAATTTTAGAATTTAGCAAAATATTTTCTAAATGTAGTTTTTTGTGCTCACCTTAACTCTACTTATAACTTTATGATTTCAACTACAAGATTGTCATATCCAAAATATGTCTCTTTCATTTAAACAAAGGCATTTTACCTTGAAACCGTTCCTGTTTGATAGCTGGGAAAACATTTAAATTATATTCGTTTCTAGTTGTTTCAGTGTTAGTTTTAAAATTATTGCCAATTTTTTTTAATGTTTTGATTAATTTCCAGTTTCAAGATTATTAAATCCATTCTTTAATGAGTGTGCAATTTGCTTTGAGTGTTATACCATTCAAAAATAAATGCTTCGACTTAAATAATACTCATAAACATTTATTTACTGGTCCAATATTAAGAAATATTCTCTAATGTGCCAACTTCAGAAAAATTCAACAATACTGAATACATTTAGGACCAAAAAATTCCCTTTTTTCAAATAATTCTAGTCTACCGTACTCACATAAGGTTAATTTAAAATAATTTTGCTATGAATGCCCCATTAGAAGCGTTTTAAAGGACTTTAATAAGATTCTATCTCTTATATCATTTTTTCGACTCCTTTCTTAAGCATATTTTGATTTTCTTCAGTTTATTGTAGACACTAAAACAGGAAAAAATATTTTGCCATCACTATTATTGACTCGAATTAATCAGGACAGGAGTCACCTGACTTTCAAAATCGAATTCCTCTCTTTATTGTAGTAATGACCTTCTTAAATTTGTCAGAATAACTAAATCCATAATATCCTTATATTGGGTTGGCAACTAAGTCATTGCCGATTTCAAATAAGAAGGCAAATTCGGAATTTTTGTTTAAAAATATAACTTTATTCAATTAGATATTGGCCGTTCTTGTCGATGGCCTTTTCCATCGTTCTGGCAGAGTAAAAATTCCCCGTTCGTAAAATGCCTGGTCTTTGCTATTAAAAACTGAATTAGGTGTGATCCGACATCATCCGCGTCGTTAAAAATTTGAC